AATCACCCCGAAAGGACGCGCAACCTGGATCTTAGTTCCCTATTGAAATCCAACCCCTCTTTTTGACCCCTTAATTTTTTCGATTTCACCCTTCCGTTTCATCGGGAGATGGATACTGGAGCAACCGCATCTCTCGCCGAGATTCGAATCGATACACCAACACCTGTAATTGGAGTGGGGCTAGTGTCAAACTCTGGCCAGCTGCCAACTGGGGGTGAGCTGTTAGTTGGCAGCCGCAGAAACGGCTCGCTCGAAACAATAAGTAGTGCCCAAAGCGAGGGGAGGCAGTGAAGAAAAATCACGCCCCTTTGCCGACATTCCGTCGAAGGATGGCTACTGGCCTGTTTTAGCCAACAAAGCCGTGAACAAATGAAATAGGAAAATCTGGGTAAAATCCCGCACTACCGGATTACGGGAATTATTCATCACGGCGTTTCCCTCCCCTCGGAGGGAAAGTCTCGCCGATTTTATGGGGCAAAATTAAAGGGGCGAAATCGCCGAGGGTCCAGATCGTAGTAGGAAATCTCTGGTGCACTCTCCGCCTTCATCACCATCCCCCGTCCATTCGGCCACCGCTAACTTCATTTCGGGGATTGTACCGCTCCCACGTTGATGCGGGACCTCCGCATTCCGCCTTGCCAGATAATCGGCCGTGGGGAAGATTAGACAGAAAACTTAATTATAAAGATTCGGATTGGTTGGATTCTCCCGGGGCTCGTAGAGCCTCGCTCCACGGTATTCGCGGATACCGTCGAGGTACTTTATGGCCGTGCCTCGCCTTTGCACCGAGCCGCAGTGGCTCGATTACTCCCAGTGTCCTGCCGAATGTAGGTTTCTCTCTTCGGGTACTTAAACAGCCTCGGGAACCTTTCGAACTTCGACCCTGACCCTTGGGATCCGAGTGGTTTCTTTATGGACTCTTATTCGAGAATACGACGCAGAGATGCCAAATTCTACGAATGCCCTCGAGAACGATATAAATTATTCTCACCGATATTCCGGGTTTCATCGATGTACCAGGTTAGAAAAATATTCACGTCTTTTATTAACGGCGGGGTCGGGCATGGAGATGTCCCACTTGTGTGCTAATATTTTATATGAACACGGTATTCATCTGTCGCCTTAAATACACGGGAATGAAAGAAGCCACTATAGTGGCGTTTCGTAGGTAAAGGGTTTAAGAAAAATTCCACGGCTCGATATTTTGGGCAGAACTACACATGGACGACGAAAACAAAGACACGAGTCAACGCGACAGAATTTCCAGCGAGACGGAAATCGTACATGCGAGTAAACGAGCGAGAGGGATTTTCTCTTTAGGAATATCCAGGAGCCCTTTCAGAAACAGCCGTTCAAGATGAAGTTCACCCATAGTCCTCGAACCTTCCGCGCTACTTTGGACATTCATCGACGTGGGTTCATCAATCGGATCGTCGCGCAATCCAGTCGCATTAGGTACGTACTAGGCAATGGCACTAAATCGTAAGTAAGACTTATCGACCGCTTCGTGGAGACAGTGCCGTGAAATGGGTTCGCCGAGGATGTGACTCGAATACAATTATGAGCCTCGAAGCGAGCGCGGGCGGAGTTTTACAATTTCCCCGGAAATTTCGAGGGGGGTGTTACGTTTCGCCCTCGTAAACCGCTTTTGCATGAGTTCCCTCGGAGGAGCCGGGGTCCGCGTATTTCATCGGAAGAATTTTCCCGCGGCAACGAGCGCCGTAGAGGAGCGCTCCTTCCCCGAGGTGGCGGGGCAGAAATACCGAGGCTCCCCGAAACCGCGAGAAATTCCAAAGGGAAGCGGGAAGAAAGTCAAAATACCCCGACGCGGGAACTTTATCTCGTTACCCGTCTCCCGCGATTTAGGGGCCTCGTAATAAATGCAGTCCGCGTCCTGGGGGGCGCGTTGCAGACGTCACATCCGACGTCAATTACATAAATCGATTCCATACGGTTCATACATCGGAGGACGTCTTTTCGAGTCCCCCGCGTCCCGATATCCGGTCGGTACCGAGGAACTCCTTCCGGTACCGGGACCAATCGATGCACCCCGTTCCGTGTAATTTGACCGCGCGACGTCGGGCCTCCATTGAAAAATGCATTCCCCTTCGGTGGGTCCCCATCCTCGGCGCTTCATCTTTAAACTCTGTTCCCTTTAGCCCCGGCGACAAAGCCGCGCCTTTGTGCATCTCTCTTCGCGGCCAACCTGCGACGCGACTCTCGATGGGCCTCCCCTTCCTCCCCTTTCGGAAGAAACCGCCGGAGGAACTTTTAATCTGTTGCACGCCGCCGACAGGTGACGACCTGGGGGGAAATTAAAATAATTAAGGACCCTGGGAAATTAATGGCCGCGTATTGTCGCGGCCAGGGCCGATTGTTCGGCGATTAGGATCCCGCTGGGACGACTTCTGGCCGTGTCTCGGTACCACTGGAGAACCCCGCAGAAATATCGTCGGCTCGATAAAATTAAGGCGAGGGGTGAGAAATGAATACGTAATGCGTGTGTGCCCGGGAGTGGCCGACTTTCGTGTTTGCCGAAGACTCGAACTTACCAACTCGGCGAGCTCCTTTCGCGCAAGTATCCGCTTTTCCTTCACGATGTTCCCGTTTGAGTTGGGCCCACCCTCTGGAACTCGATTTCTTAACTTTCCGCCGAGCGAGCTCGAATCGCCCGATATTCGCGGGAACGACCGAGTGCCTCGCTTTTCCTCGGCGTGTTACTCGGAAGGCATTTTCTCCCGTCGATTCTCATTCCCGCCGATGGTCGCGCACCCCCGAGGTGGGAAAAGCGCGATCGCGCAATCCGAGGAATGATAAGCCGACGATTGGGTCGAATGAATGAACTTCGAATAACACAATTGACTCATTGTGAGGACGTCAGTGACATCGTTAGGCGTGCTCGAGGCGAGGGATGAAAGGATAATGTCTCCTCGATGGGATGGAAGTGTCCCTGAGAATGACACCCCTGCAATCGACAGGGCGGAGATTGCCACGATTCTGCCGGAAAATCATAATTAATTAAACCCTTTCCAGTTAAGGTCACTTCGTAACCGAGTTAGGGAACGGTACTCAAGGAGGAAGAAAATGTTAAACCCAAGTGAAAATGATTTTCTTGGATAATTGTGATATCCGGGATGGGGCGGAAGGGTTGACGAGGGTAGTTTTCCGGAGCGAAGAGTTTTCGCGCCTGTCACAGTGGCCCCGGTCGTCAAAGGACATAATAGGGATCAGGATGAAGCGGCTGGACCCGATCCTCTTAGGGGATCGGAAAATGGGATGGATTTTGCCAAAAACATCCCTCGGGAAAATGAGGGTCGCCCCTTGGATTTTTCCCCCGGCGCGTCGACTCTTTAATTCCTCCCTCCCGAAAATCCGAGTGGCCTAAAGAAGTTCGGCTCAACTTTATCATAGAACTAATATTTTCCAACTCCCGTGAAGTATTGCGATAGTTTCCGGAAGGGATCGGCCGCGGCAGGAGGTGCGGCAAAATGGTTCTCACGGGAACTTCAATATTTGGCGACCGTAACGACGTCTTCTGATTTATTTCCTGCAAGTTTCCATCTTGCTTTTTCACCGCCGCCGACTGAATGAAATACCCAAGATGAATGTGCCCTCGGTCCGGGAACTTCCCTCCGGCCTTCGTTTCTCGTTAATTCCTCGGCTCGCTCCACGAAATTCCTCGGCCCTTCGCTCGATTATCCCTTTCAGGGAAATTAGAAAGAAATTTCATCAAGGGATCGGGCGATCGCGCCACCTGCTTCCGGGATTTCCGAACAATCGACAAGATGGCGTCGCGCGTCGAAAAACCGTCTCCTTGGCTCACCAGTTAATTCGAATTCCGAAGGAAAGACAAGAGAGAAATTTACCGACGACGTGGAGAAATCCTCGTTTCCGATTATTCCATAGATCCGCAAACCGGAAATTTATGCATGGCGGAAAAGAAACGCGAAAAATCGAGCGCGAAGGAAAAGAGTCGACTTATCAACGGCGGAGCTCTCGTTGGGCCCTCTTCAGCCCGTTGATACCTCATCAAGTACCTTATTACGCTGGCCACTGCAGCCGACGGCCATTATGCACGCGAATTAAAGAATGTAGAGCTCCTCGTCCTAGCCGAATTCCACGAGAAGGGAGAAAAGCGTGATCCTAATGGAAAGTCTCATTTGGGAAATTTTGAGAGGAGCCAATCGGGTCGAGAGCTCAATAAGGAATCCGGCGATCCTCGGCGAGCTTAAGGAAGGACTTAAGGGAGTCCGAAGGCTCGCTCTTATCATACGTTTCTTCCACCTGATTTTTCACGAACGCAGGATAAAAAGTTGGCCTGGAAGCCCCTTAACGAGGTGCACCGAGTGCCGGGAAAAAAGTCGGAATGAAAATCCGAATCGAAGTGGGCCGAGGTCGCTTATCGGGGGCTCGGTTCATATCGCACGCCTTGGCTAATTTTATTTTCCCTTTATTTTATCGGCTTTCGCTTCTCGACTTTCGAGAGCCGATTCGATGTCCCGTCTTCCGAGTCCCAGGATTCGCCGAAGAGTCCTTCCTTTTGGTCTTCCCTCCATTCTTTCCTCTCTCGAACCCCCCCCAGTGAATTTGTTCACTTGAATTTTCATCGCACGGATCCACTTATTTGGACGTGACACCGAGAAGTCACCCAACGAACTCTGAAACTAACCTTCTCCCCGGAGTTAAATGTCCCCTTAATGCTCCGTCGAGCCTCTCAGGTGCTGAACTTTTGATAGCAACCTGGGCCCTGAGATTGCTTGACACGGTTTCGGATCTGCTGAGACACCAACAGCAGGACAAAATTCATTTACAGCGACTGCATGGGAAATGAATTTTGTACGGAATGCGTGCAACCTACATCTCGACTGGTGCCACCCGAAATGGTTCCCCTACTCCACTTGGTGAGAAAATTCCGCGGCTTGGCGAAAGGAATTTTCATTTCTCCTAGAAAGTCTCCCGGAAAATTTGTCAGTATTAACCACGTGCTATCTGTCACTTACCGGATGCTGATGACGTAGTACGAGATCGGGTTATTGTGCGAATTCGCACTGTCAGCCCAGGAGAGGTTCACCGCTCGAGATGTGAAGTGCGTCACCAGAGGCCGTTCCGGGGGCGCAGGAACGTCTGAAAAATGCGAATCGGATCTTAATTTCAATCGACTATGGAAATATATTCAGGCTATTTAGGGATTGAAATCGAGAAGGCACTTTGGTGGAGCCGTCGAAGAGCGCCGCGCTTGTTTCCCCTCGACTTTGTAAAGAGGGAATTCGAAAAGACGCCAGCTCACGACGGTGGACGCGCAAAGGCGTGCCAGCAACCTGATTATTCGAGTGCACGAGCTGAATGTCAAACAACTCTAGGCGATCCAATTGCCGAATGGAATTATTTGCGCTGGTCAACTAACCGAGCGAGTCAATTTATTCGGCCACCGCTCGAATGCAAGGCCGAGTTACGAGATCTCCCGACTGCTTGGCAAATCGAGTTAATCGGCCTAATGACTCGTCTGGGCCGATCGACGGTTCATTGAAAAAAAGTTTAATTCACCGCCGAGCCATTTGGGTGGACCAGGAGCCAAACGACCGATTCCACGAGGCGATCCTCCCGGCCATATTAATTAATTAAATCTTTTCCTAATTGCGGAGGACCGGGGAGGAAGTCCGCGGCCCAGGGGTGGAATTATCCAGTTTCCCATTTTCGATCCTTCGTTTACGGTATCCGTGGTATTTTCGGGTGAGAAATAATTATCGGGCTGCAAAAGACTCGGAGACGGAAAGAGGACAGGGGTAGAATTTTCCAGTTTCCCATTTTCGATCCTTCGTTTACGATATCCGTGGTATTTTTCCGGTGAGAAATAATTATCGGGCTGTAGAAGTCTCGGAGACGGAAACAGGGCAAGAGGGTCGCCGACCCCAGGAGTGATATGAATTTTCCCCGATTAGGTATCTTTCCGACTGATGCAGAACCGCGGGCTCTGCAGGGATGAAGAGTGGAGACGCTTAATATGCACCAACGGGCCGCGTGATACGATATTGCGCGCACGTTACGTAAGATCGTAAATGAGAGCAGGGACCCTTGCCCCCCAGGAGAGAGTCATCATCCTCTTCCGACCTCTACTCTTCCCTCTAAGTGTCTCATGTGGGGCACTTATATTATCTTTATATCATGCCGTGGTGAGGGTCACGTCTCTCGACGCTGAAGGGCTTAAAAGGCTGATTTGCCGAAAGAAGTCACCGCGGATGTTTCGCAAATCGTGTTTGGACCACCGAAGGGGTCCTGGCGACGAGGCAAGGACTTCCGCTGCGATCTAGACCACCGGACAATGTTGCGGATCTTGAGAGATTTCTCAACGGGTATAGTGGAAATTTGGAAAAATGGTGCGCCGGATTTTCGGGGCCAATTCGCGCCCACGCTGGCTCGATCTTCCGGCCGGTGGAGGGACGGAAATCCGCCCGGCATCGGATCCGATTTCGCGCCCGGAAATGCCGGGGTAATGTACGAGGCATTCCGAGGAATTCTCTCGGAAGACGGGCCGAACTTCGGCAAAGTGGTTGCCCGTCAGGGCCGACACAAAGACGCGGACGCGTCGCTGTGTTCGGTTTTCGGTGTCCATTAATCAACCGGAGGTTTCGCAGAGGACCAATCGGCGCAGCGCCGGGGCTGTTCCATTTGCGGCGCATCGACCGCCGAAGGAACGGCCAACTTGGCGCGCTCCGAAATCCCGAAATCCGAAATTCGAGATCCGATTTCTGGGACGTAATTACATATCTTCGAGGGCGACGATTAGTACCCCCCGCTAGGCAGCTCCGGAGGACCCTGAGTCGAGGAGTTTCAGTCGCGGAATTTCGAAAAAAGTCAGCAAGGCTCTTTTTCGAAGCTTCGTCGTCCCAATTGCGACGCACCGAATAAGTGGTCAAGTTGGTGGGCTCCGATATCCGAAATTCGAGATCCAATTTCTGGAATTAATTATGCTGATTCAAATTTATCGGCCGATGGCCAACTTGGCGAGATTCGAAATTCAAGATTCGAACTCCAATGTCTGGGACGTAATTACGTCTCTTTGAGGGCGACGATTCCTCCGCTAGGCAACTCCGTAAGACCCTTAGTCGAGCTTGAGTCGCAGAATTTCGCTAAAAGTCTACGGGGACTTTTTTGGAAGCTACGTCGTTCCAATTGCAACGCATCGAAGGAGCGGCTAAGTTGGCGCGCTCCAAAATTCGAAATTCAAAATTCGAACCCGAATTTCTGGGACGTAATTAGGTTCCTTCGAGGGCGCCGACTCTTCCTCTGAGGCGGCTCGCGAGGCCCAGAGTCGGAACTCGAATCCCAGTCGCGGGTTCCCGCAAAAAGTCGGCAGGGATTTTTCGGAAGCCTCTCCTCTCCCGGGGAATTGTCCCGCGGCATTTTCTATAATTAAACCGGCCATCCGGGAAATTCTCCCGGAGCCGCGAGCGAGCGTCCAAGTGCTCGGCTGCGGCGCCTCCACCTCGCCAGCCCCGAATTCGCGCATAAATTTTTCCCCGAGGCGATTCTCGCAAGAATTTACGAGCCCCGTCTCTGCTGTTATTTTTCCAACCTGCTATCGCGCCTACGGGAGCGTCCATCTCGTTCCGCGACTTCCGTCATTACGCGTGTAGGTACTTGCGGTGTCCAGCTGCAGTCTTCTGGGATGTGAGCTTGAGCCTCACCATTTTTGTTCCAGGACAGACTCCCAGGATTTTTTCAAAAATGCCAACGGGTAAATTAACTCGGTGCAAATCGTTTGGTCGAAGAGATATTCATTGCATTTACTGAAATAAAAAGTGGCGGCCATTAAAGGCGCACCAAAGCTATCCTTGGGTCCTCTTGGTGCTACTTGGGCTCGGCGCTTAAAACAATTTATAATAAAAAAAAAAACAATTAACGTTTCAGATGCATCGGCGATAAATAACAGCCGGCATGCCTGCAGTTTACTGACCGCGTCCTCGAACACGAGCTGGATAGACGATGGCAGTCGAGATGGTACTTTATCGAATTCGGTTTAACAATCGAAAATCGTTACCCCGTCCTGGCTAAGTGTCACGCATGTTTCGCGCCCCGTGGAGTGGTGGCGGCAAACGTTTCGGAATCGGTGAAAGAATCCCGCTAAATGAAACAGCTGTAAAACCGCGCGGCCACGTTTAGGCCACTAACAAGCGAAAATTGGAGCAAACAATTCGCGCCGGTCTAATTGCGGTGTCGTCTCGCGCGAGCCCGGCTACTGCTGAGGCAATTAGCTGGCAATGCCGTCTTGCAATTAAACCCAAATGAATTCTTTCGCCCGTTATCTCGTTCGGCTGGGAGGTTCGGAACTCCCCGAAGAGGCGACTCCAACGAAAGGCGCCATCTTCTTGCGCGCCGGTCGCTCCGAACGACGCCATCGCGTCGAAATTGGAATTTCGGCATTTTATCGAAAACTAAGTAATTACACGGGCCAGAAAAAATGGAGAGAGTCCTAGTGGCATAGATCTAAGATATTTTCATGGAGAAATGGTTTTCATACGGATGGAATTAGGGTGGGAAATTAAACGAAAGGCGGCTCGGGAATTTCGCCCGGGCGACGCAAAAGTGTCGCTAATACGCAAGACAAAGTGCCTATATTTGTCCCCGGGACTGTCACCCACGTCCCCGGGGGAGATTAACTAAATAAATCCACCGGAAACGCCGGGACTAATTCGCCTGACCAAGCGTCTCGTAAAGTAACGAGTCGCCGCTAATTCGGGCTAAAACTTATCTTTATTCTTCGGCGCTTCTGGAGCGCCTCCGCGCGCAAACAAACTATTTGCGAGAAGGCGCACCGTCAGGACGTATCTCGCCCCTCGGTAAACCGGGTTATGCGTATTTTTACGTAGGATTACGAATCCTTCCTGTAATTCCGTTTGTTCAGTCGGCAGAGAAATGTCGCACGCTTGCGCCCCCAAACAAGCTACGGTTAGCGATACGTCGAGGGTCGCGTTTTTACCACATTCCCAGCTGATATATCATTGCACGTTCACCCTCGAAAATATAATTTTTATTTTTTTATTATTATTAATTAATTAATTGCTGAAAAAGACACAATAGGATTCCCATTTCGCCCACTGCCACCTAGCCATACTTCACTGGCAGAAAAATCGACAGCGTTTTATCGTCGCACAGACGTTCATCCCGCGGGTTTCGGGAGGCCAGGAAACATCGGACGCGATAACGCAAATCCTGACACATGTACACCATAAATGCTCGGTTTGCAATTATCGTTCATCGAAATTAATACCAAGAGTACGTCCAGGCGGACACGCCAGGTCGTGGGGAGTGCGCGAGGTGCGTTCCAATTTGTAGACCCAGGACTCGCGATCGGTTCTCCAGGAATTCCACGAGGATGGCGAGGCTTCCTGCGGGGTCGGGATCGAGATGGGTCCTGAAACCTGCTGGAAGATTCCTGACATTTTAGCCGCGATGGAACGTCTGCATCGAGACCAGCCCAGGTCGCGTTTTCCTGCCAGCTGCGAGAGGCGACTCCGGGGGAAACAATTATTTCGAGACAAAGGACACCCCGTAGCCTCTTGTGGAAATTTGCCAAGGGGTGTCAGGGTGGCGGGCTAAGTGAAATGGCGCGCGACTCGTGCACCCCGGGTGTATATACTTGCACGACGTAGACCAGCACGCGGTCGCGGATTTCCGGAAATCGCGGCCGGAATCGGAGTCGTTACAGGGATGATGATGGAATGATTTGAAACGTCTTCTGATTTTTCTAAAATGATTTATGAGAAAGGTCGAAATCGCCTTTCGGAGGGTCTTGGAGGTGGTCCCTTCTTCTTCCGGTCACCGGGTGGGTGCCAACGAACGGAGGTGCAAGATTTACATCGCACGTAAGAACGCGCGCATACGTGACCGCGGTTTCGCGTCTCCACCCTGCGGCCAAGGAGCGGAGACGCGGCTTGTTCGACCGGGCCAAGAAGAGGAGCTTGCAGAAGAAGCTGCAGAATTTATACGCCGGATAATATATCGAAGCGGTGCCGGGGCATGAGGCAGCAAGAGTGGCTTATTTTTGATGTCGGACTTGGCTGAGGGATGTTTTCGGTTTAATTTATATCCGTAAGTCGCGGAGGACGTCGGTTCCCGTTCGCCAA